TAGAACTTTGGTCGATTAGGTCCTCCGTCGAATCGCACTTTCTTCGTTGATGCACTTTTGGATTTGTAGCACCTGCGTGCGTGTCGCAAATTTGAATTGTCGCACATATGAATGTCCCCCCTCGGCCCGATGCGCATTACAAACGGAATAGCATACAAATGTGGCGCACTTCCGTAGCAATAGAGGTGACTAAATTAAAAATTAATTATCTTATGTCTTTTTTGCATTTAATCTGCTCAAAACATTCTCAATTAACTTAACAAAAAAAAGTTGAACATAAAGTTGTCTTGCTTTGACTCATTGGGCAATTGCCTCTCTTGATTCGTCTGTAGTGCTGTCAGAAAAATGTTTCAACTGAAATTATGTGGATACTTACTATTTGGTTTTCATTATATTTATTGTTGAAAGCTTGACGAAATACCGACATATTTTTTAAATATTATTTCAAAAGAAGAAAATGAAAAAAATACCTATTATTTTGCATTTTAATGTTTCTTTTTGCGAAGAAATAGTTCCTGTAATACGTATCTTGGTCCTATTCGCTTCTAAGCCTCTTTCCCAGCGGATTTTGTTCGGACCGCCGATTCGTATTAGCAGGTGGATACATGAGTCGGTAGTACGCTCCTGATTCGCATTAGCGGTGAATCCGATCGTGATACGTATTTGCTTTGCTCATGTAACCGCGGATCGGATCGCCGATTCGTACTAGCAGGTGGCTACATGAGTCGGTAATGCGTTCCTAATTCGAATTAGCGGCTAAATACGTATTTACTGTGCTCATGTAACCCCGATAATAGAGTTCAGTGGGGTCATCGAAATCTATACGACCATCAAATAAGCAGCAGATTGATATTCGCAACCATCCAGATAAGAAATTGATATTCGGGCGTGGAACGCAGTAACTCAGAAATCTATAAACTTAATCCAGACAGGTAGGCACTTATTTGATTTCCCGTTCCTCAAGGCCGGGGAACAGGATTTTCTGCTCGACTTTTAAATCAAGGACATGACCTAGTGACTTGAAAATCATTGACAATCTTGATTCAGGGCAGGGGCGTAAGTCGTAACCACCTAAGCGGACAGTGCTGAAGGTCGGCACCATTTTTTACGGGCGCCGAAGGCACCCCTCTCTGTCTTCTGTTCAGTACCTATACCTATCTTTGCCACAGACGGTGCCCTACCCTTAGTAGCGTTTCACAAACAACTCTCTTTCTACCGAGGCGCCCTTTTTTCGCATGGAGGCGCCCTCTTTAGCTTCACAGGCGTCTCTCTATCACATGCAGGCGCCCCAATGGGCATCAGCGGCGCCCCTACAGGTCTCACAGTTGCCTCTCTTTCGAATGCAGAGCGCCCCCTTACGCATGCAATGCAGATTGCAGGTAGACGGTAGTTCCAGGCCCAGCAGCACGGCCGCTTTTCCTGTGGGTCCGCAGGTGTCTGTTGAGATTTGCTAGCCTGGCAAATAGTGCCACGCAGATGGAGCAGCCGTACGGCCTCTCTCCCGTGTGGGTACGTATGTGTGCGGTATGAAGGGTCGATTGCCTAACAAAACGTGCCGTACAGATGGAGCAGTCGTAACGTCGCTCCCCGGTCAGTCCGCACGCGTCTGGTCAGGTGTGACCATTCAGTGTACATGGCCTGGTTATGTGAGCAGCCGTACGGGCCCTCCTCCGTGTGGGAACGCATGTGTGCCTGTATTGAGAGCTGACCGTTCAGTGAACCGTGCCGCGGACATGGAGCAGCCGTACAGCCGTTCCCGTGTGGGTCCGCAAAGACGAAACAACACTTCAAAAGCCGAAACATTATCAACACGCGTTTATTCGGCCATGACAATATTTGAACTTTTAAGTCGCGCATAAACAAAACACTGCAGCACATAAAAAAGTAGGTATTGGTTCATATACATATGTCCTGATGAAAACTCAGTACATTCCTCTATCTAGCCATGCTACTTTCATTTCACTCTTTGGCGGCACGTAATCTGCCGAAGGCGGCAAGACCAGAAACATAGCAGTGACGCCTGTAGATACAGAAAGCACATATCTAAGAGTAGCTGCGTTTACATATAATGAACAGAGACCTGTAAGGTTTACCCGAGTCCTTCCATGCAAAGAAATTGGATCTACCTTAAAACTGAGCTCTTGGGAGCGATTGCCGTGGTTCAATGTTTTGCGTTGAAATCGGCCGAACATGACGCCACTCTGACGTCATTTCCGGCCGACCTATGGTAACTACGAAGGTCATATTTTGACACAAGGTGTCAAATTGATGCAGCCGAAGGTACTGAAAGTTTGGCGTCGATACGTCAAGCAATTTGGAAGTTTTTGCAGAAAAACGGGAGGGGGCTATGTATAGCCCCCAAGTGGGACGCGAGTTAAGGTGGCTAGTTTAAAACACAACCACTGAATCACACTGGATAAGAACAAACAAACCAGATATGACACTGGTAGCCACGAAGCTCACAAACGAGAGTCACAGCTATAACACCAATAACTAACGTACAACGGCGGCCGGCCATGCACTTGTCAACACGTTGCAGCATTGCATTTCGCTAATCAAAGCATTTACCACATCAAGCCTGTTAAATTCTCAAAACTGTGTACCACTTAAAACTGACTTTTGTGAGTCAAACTGCCGAACTGTTAGACAGAAGTGGCATCAGTGCGGTTGCACTTCGCATGGGTACGCATGTGTTTGGTGAGATGTGCCCGTTGAGTGAAACGGGCCTGGCAGTGTGAGCAGTCGTACGGGCGCTCCCCCGTGTGAGTCCGCATGTGTAAGGTGAGACTTGTCCCTTGAGTGAACCGTGCCTTGCAGATGGAGCAGCCGTACGGCCGCTCCCCAGTGTGGGTCCGCATGTGTGCCTTGAGGTGTCCCCGTTCAGCGAACCGTACCGTGCAGATGGAGCAGTCGTATGACCGCTTCCTTGTATGGGTACTAGTGATGTCAATTACAGAAAATCAGGATACCGATACCAAACCAAATGGTAAATACCAACCAAGACCATAGGAAAATACCGAAACCAAACCAACTTGTACTTGGGAATAGCAGGAAAATGCCGACTTTTTACCAGATTCACAGCGTCTTATACATTAGCGAAGATTTATAATACCAACAAAACACCAAAAACATTAGGTTTGAAATACCAAATACCAAGTTGTTATCGGTATACCAGAAAGTCTATCCGATTGACATATCTAATGGGTCCGCAGGTGTCTGCTGAGGTAGGCCCGTTGAGAGAACCGGGCCTGGCAGTGTGAGCAGTCGTACGGCCGCTCCCCAGTGTGGGTCCGCATGTGTCTGGTAAGGTGTGACCGGTATGTGAACAGTGCCTTGCAGATAGAGCAGCCGTACGGCCGCTCCCCAGTGTGGGTACGCATGTGTGTGATGAGGTGTGACCGAACAGCGAACCGTGCCGTGCAGATGGAGCAGCCGTACGGCCGCTCCCCAGTGTGGGTCCGCATGTGGTTGTTGAGGTGTGACCGAACAGCGAACCGTGCCGTGCAGATGGAGCAGCCGTACGGCCGCTCCCCAGTGTGGGCCCGCATGTGGTTGTTGAGATTTCCCCGTTCAGCGAACCGGGCCTGACACCGGGAGCAACTGTACGGCCGCTCCCCCGTGTGGGACCGCATGTGTTTGTTGAGGCTTGACCGTTGAGAGAACCGTGCCGGGCAGATGGAGCAGCCGAAAGGCCTCTCCCCAGTGTGGATCCGCACGTGTTCAGTGAGGTGCGCCCGTTGACCGAACCGGGCCTGGCAGTGTGAGCAGCCGTACGGCCGCTCCCCCGTGTGGGAACGCACGTGTTTGATGAGATTTCCCCGTTCAGCGAACCGGGCCTCGCAGTGTGAGCAGCCGTACGGCCGCTCCCCCGTGTGGGTCCGCATGTGTGTAGTGAGGTGTGCCCGTTGAGCGAACCGGGCCTGGCAGTGTGAGCAGCCGTACGGCCGCTCCCCCGTGTGGGTACGCATGTGTTTGATGAGATTTCCCCGTTCAGTGAACCGGGCCCTGCAGATAGAGCAGCGGTACGGCCGTTCCCCAGCGTGAGTCCTTTGGTGGTGTTTCATGTTTGTGGACCTGTCGGTCGAGTATTGACACTGCTCGCACTTGAATCTCCCGTTCTTCCCGATGCGACTGTGACTTTTCTTCACGTGTTCGTCCAGATGTTGTTGTCCCAGACATCGGAAGCCGCAGTGGGGACACTGGACCGAGCCACTGATACCTGAAGAATACACAAGAAGAAGAAAGGCCATTAAAAACGTTCCATGCCAAACAGACACTGGAACATCTCGACGACCAGAAGTGACCCACGCAGCTGGTCGCGTTTCCAGATCACCTTGGTGAGCGCCGTGGGCGGTGAACGGCTATGTTGACGGGACAAGCCATCAGCGCCCATGAGTTGATCCGTTCATCGTTCGAAATACAGCCTTCAGAAAGAGAACGTTGAGCTCTTAGGGAATACAAAGCTCCCTTGACATTTACCAACTCGCACTATGATAGGACTTAGAGCCAACTTATCTATGAAAAAGGCCTGTTTGCCAACGCCAAGGAATATATTTTTTAAAACGTTAGCCACCAAGAGCCGATAAAACGCAATCAGTTATTTATCTGAGCAATGTCTGTTTGGTTGGAGTAGATGCCTACACTTCTCGTAGTTTACACCACGAACTAGGTCAAAGGGGCCCTCCCACCTTCAAAAAGTTAATGAATGGCATGAAGGTGATATCGCTCGGTTCAGAAAGAGCAAAAACGAATATTTACCAACGTTCACCGAAAAAAATATTCACCGGTTTTCAAGATATTAGACTTTTACATTTGTTTACTTTTTGGGATCTCCGCTGTTCCTAGCGACTTTATTTGAAAGTGCGTCACTTATTGCGGGCAAAGCAGTATATACCACCGCGTGCTACCAAACGTTTTAGTAAAAGATTTAAAATCGTTTGATTTTCGCTGACGTCACACATTCAGAGGGGGCATTCTAACCCATTTGCCCCTTTGAATCCAAAGTGCTGCAACTTTGAAATAAGATATTTTCTATTTCAGGCATTTATCGATGTTGTGAATGCTTGAACCAGTAGGTAAGTGCAGGCCAGGGACCCCATTTTGGCTATCTCAACTCAAAACTAATGTTAAGGTGGGATGGTCACTTGAAATACCTACATACATACATGATGGAAAGGGTAGTAGCGATCATTTTCTTTATTACCTAATACGCGTTCATTCGGCCATGGCAATATTTGAACTTGAAAATGTACATAAACAAAACACTGCGGCACAGTAGTGGGTAGGTATTGATCCATACACATATGTCCAGAGAAAACTTAGTAGGTACATTTTTCTATCTAGCAATACTACTTTTATTTCACCCATCAGCGGCACGTAATCCCCATTCCGCCAGAGGCGATAAGACCAGAAACATCCAGTCACGCCTATAAACAAACAGCACATATCTAAGAACGGCTTCGTTTATACAGGATGAATAGAGACCTGTAACATCTGGACGACATGCCGACATACGTTTGACCCGCTACTTGTCCACAAAAGTGCGCAGATAATACGAAATACGGCGAATACGAGAGGGAGCCGAAGCCAAAAAAGAAGTATTATCTCAAAATTACCGGATATTCCTCACACAAAATATAGTATAAACAAACAGCAGCGATAGTCCTTACCTCCTATGTTATCCCGCGCCCCACTGGGGTCTGCGTATAAAACGCCCTACGGGGGGGGGGGGGGGCTCTCCATAGCCCCCAGCCTAACTCCGAAACTACTTGGCCGATCGTCAAAATTCAAACGGCGTCTGATAGCCCCGGAAAAACTGTCGAAGGAAACCTAATTTTATTGACCTCGAGGTCACCGATGACGGCACAGGTCAGGTCAAAGTAAAAAATTATTAGCATTTTTGCTTCTTCACATTTTGGGCTCTGGCCGCCGTCTTACCAGTCAGATCAGGCTCATTTTTTGTTTACACACTCGTGAACAGATGCTCTAGATATCCTGGGGGTACCAAACTTGTACTTTGATTTTCAGGTCAGGGTCAGGTCATCACAGATCACGGAAATATTATATCATGCGTCGGTCACGTGACACATGTTTTATGGTCCATTAAGGCCATGGATCTCGAATTTGATGCCGTCTGTGTTATTCGAGGTCATTTTGAGCCGAATTTAGCTTAGGTCAGGTCACTTTCAGGTCAAAAAAGGTCATATTTTGAAGCTAAAATTTTTCAACAAAAAAGGTGTCTATTGGATGTAGTTTGAGCTCAGGAACACGATGGTGCTATTTATATTGGTGTACGATGTCAAATACGTACTGAAAAATTGATTTAAAAAATTAATATTTGTGAATTTTTGCAATACCTAATGCGGAAAACTTAGCCATTTTTGAAGATATTTAGCTAAAACTTGCTAGACTTAGTCAAAAACATGCGTTCTATCACATCTATTCCATTTTTTTTTCTCGAAAAATCGAAAACTTTTTGAAAAATATGAAATATAAATTTTGAATTTTATTAAATAAAATTAACGAAATATTTGAAATTTTGAAAATCCGAGATAGCAGTTTGAAAGCGCAGTCTATTCTGAGTCCTTTCATGCAAAGAAATTGGATCTAGCTAAAAAACTGAGCTCTTGGGAGCGATTGCCGTGGTTCAATGTTTTGTGTCGAAATCGGCCGAACATGACGTCACTCTGACGTCATTTCCGGCCGACCTATGGTAACTACGAAGTTCATATTTTGACACAAGGTGTTAAATTGATGCAGCCGAAGGTACTGAAAGTTTAGCGTCGATACGTCAAGCAATTTGGAAGTTATTGCAGAAAAACGGGAGGGGGGCTATGTATAGCCCCCCCCCCGTGGGGCGTGAGTTAAGGTGGCTAGTTTAAAACACAACCACTGAATCACACTGGATAAGAACAAACAAACCAGATATGACACTGGTAGCCACGAAGCTCACAAACGAGAATCACATCTATAACACCAGTAACTAACGTACAACGGCGGCCGGCCACGCACTTGTCAACACTTTTCAGCATTGAATTTCGCTAATCAAAGCATTTACCGTGGCGTTAAAAACTGAGCTCTTGGGAGCGATTGCCGTGGTTCAATGTTTTGTGTCGAAATCGGCCGAACATGACATCACTCTGACGTCATTTCCGGCCGACCTATGGTAACTACGAAGTTCATATTTTGACACAAGGTGTTAAATTGATGCAGCCGAAGGTACTGAAAGTTTAGCGTCGATACGTCAAGCAATTTGGAAGTTATTGCAGAAAAACGGGAGGGGGGCTATGTATAGCGCCCCCCCCCCGTGGGGAGTGAGTTAAGGTGGCTAGTTTAAAACACAAGCACTGAATCACACTGGATAAGAACAAACAAACCAGATATGACACTGGTAGCCACGAAGCTCACAAACGAGAATCACATCTATAACACCAATAACTAACGTACAACGGCGGCCGGCCACGCACTTGTCAACACGTTTCAGCATTGAATTTCGCTAATCAAAGCATTTACCGCATCAAACCTGTGTAATTCTCAAAACTGTGTACCACTTAAAACTGACTTTTGTGAGTCAAACTGCCGAACCGTTAGACAGAAGTGGCAGCAGTGCGGTTGCACTTCGCATGGGTACGCATGTGTTTGGTGAGGTGTGCCCGTTGAGTGAATCGGGCCTGGCAGTGTGAGCAGTCGTACGGCCGCTCCCCCGTGTGAGTCCGCATGTGTTTGATGAGATTTCCCCGTTCAGCGAACCGGGCCTGACACCGGGAGCAACTGTACGGCCGCTCCCCCGTGTGGGACCGCATGTGATTGTTTAGGCTTGACCGTTGAGTGAACCGTGCAGTACAGATGGAGCAGCCGTGCGGCCGCTCCCCCGTGTGGGTCCTCATGTGTGCCTTGAGGTGTCCCCGTTCAGCGAACCGGGCCTGACACCGGGAGCAACTGTACGGCCGCTCCCCCGTGTGGGACCGCATGTGATTGTTTAGGCTTGACCATTGAGTGAACCGTGCAGTACAGATGGAGCAGCCGTACGGCCGCTCCCCCGTGTGGGACCGCATGTGTTTGTTTAGGCTAGACCGTTGAGTGAACCGGGCCTGGCAGTGTGAGCAGCCGTACGGCCGCTCCCCCGTGTGGGTCCGCATGTGTGTGATGAGGTTTGACCGCTCAGAGAACCGTGCCTTGCAGATGGAGCAGCCGTATGGCCGTTCCCCTGTGTGAATTCTGCGGTGGCGTTCCATACGGGTGGACTTGTCGGTCGAGTATTGACACCACTCGCACTTGAATCTGCCGTTCCTGCCGATGTGACCGTGACTTGTCTTCACATGTCCGTCCAGATAATGTTGTCCCAGACATCGGAAGCCGCAGTGGGGACACCGAAGTGTACCACCAATACCTGTAAAACACATTTAGAGATTGAGTGAGGTCGACAATGTTTCTAGCCAGATATGTAAAACATCAGGGTAAAATGATTGCATTCAAAATTAACAGTGAAGGACATGCATCGCTCCCTTAGTGCCAGTGAAGTAGGATTAGGGCCCAGTTGTCGCATTTGGGGGCTGGGGCTGGCCGGAGAAATTCGAGAGCCAGTAGCCACTCAGCGCGGTGGTCGATGCCTGACATGCGGTCACGACGAAGGGAGAGGTCGAGGAGCGGTGATGGAGATTGCGACGGCAATAGACAAGTAATGGACAAGATCGGTTGGCTGACACAGATGAAAATCGAACGTCCATGGGTGGTGCAAGACCCACGGTTTTTATGCAACTCGAAAAGACATGAACTAATACGGATGGATAATAACTTGCGCCCTTATACGATCGCACTTATTATCTCAGCTGCACAGGTTGTAACGAAATTATCCGGACATCTTTCTTCCCGCTGGAATCGAAAAGCGAAACAATCTGATGGCTTTCCTTGTAAATGACGATTGAGCCACACCTCATAAGACAGTTTCGAGTGCGCTGGAGCCTTTCAACCACTGGGTTCTCCAGCACACTGGGTTTGATGTCGACCGACGCCGTCTTGACCTGTCAGTGTTCTAAAATTGGATTTTGGTTGGGTGTGACGATGATGACCAAAAAATCTAGGATGAGAAAAAAAACAAGTGAAAACCTATATCACTTTCGCAATAAAGGCGTAACGCTACGCTGGCTGATAATAAAAGAACATACCATTCCTGACCACCAAAACTAACCGAAAAAGACGATGCAAATAGGTAAGGATGATATACGGCAGAATTATAACTTTAGCATCTGATCGCCAAGTGTTTCGAAATCCGTCCCATTTTATCCCAACCTTTGTTTTTGATTGAGACTAATTAAGTTAAGAATCACCCTTGTCTCTTATACAGCTAAGAATGAATACCTACTTCAACCAGTGAGATTTCATTTTCCTCACAAGTCAAAATGCATTGTCACAATTGAATGACTGTCCAGTGGCCATCCTTCTCCTAGCCTTAAATCAATGCCTTCCTTTCCGTTTCAGATGCAAACAGCATATATTACCGTCAGCATCTGCTAAGTTTCTACTCATGCTTACTGGCACGGATCCAGGACGGTCCTTCTGCCTGTATATTTCTCCTAAAGATCATCCGCGGACCTCCATCCTCGCGACGCCAGTCGCCATCATGCGAGCGAACTAGGTCTTTAAGAAGCAGAAGATGCAATGATTCTGTTGAAATCTGTTGTCATATCTTAAGGAGGGTGAGGGAGGGGCGGGTGAGGGAGCTCTCTCTATATGCAGGCTTTGGTACTAGTGCCATGTGTAGAAGTTTTCTCTCTTTTTTAAGCAAAGGAAGTGGGAAGGAACCTGTCGTTGCCGTTGCAAAGGGTATCATTCTGTCGTCCTGTATTATTGATTTAGTGCAGTTGACTCAGACTGTGTATTTGTATGTAAGTGTGTAATGCGTGAGGCGTGGTCATCACTGTGACACTGTCAGACATAAAATCTTAGGTAATCATGATACCCTGATGGGCAGTTTGTTGACGTAACTGATCGCTATGAAACCAGAAACCGTATAACTCATGTGTTCTGGCCTCTGGGACGTTTTGCGCCTACAATATGGCAGCACCGCTTCCAAGATTACTGTATATTTGAGATAATATGCGGCAATATAAGTATGTAGTTTTCGTTCGCATCTGATCTGGTAATATTCGTACAGTGTACGCAGTATAGCTTTGAGCTTTCCATTTTCAACAGATATGACAATGGCCGGATGATACTGGAAATGGTGCCTTTGCTCTGGGCACACGGAACGGGACGCAGTATTGATTATGCAATTGCAGTCGCACTATGCAGCATGACATACGCCGGAAATCTCCCGGCCCGAACGCCGGAACGGCCAGCGATAGTCGGTACTCATTACGCATAGTGAAAATGGAAACGGTGTCAGCACAACTCTTCGAAAGGAACGGTGCACTACATGAGACTAGACAAAGGGTCACTGATTAGGGCACCCCAAACGGAACGATGTGCACTGCGCAGCATAATACGCAATATCGCAATAAAAAGCGTGCAACTAACCAGTAACCAGGGCATCCATATCGGAACGGAACGGGATGCAAAAAAAATGATAAAAGGATGCCACCGACCTCATGGCCGGCCACCGAAACGGTCAACGGAGCGGTAGCTTCGTATCATGTCACGTGATAAGTGCTGAGTGAGAGAGTCAATGATCAGTGATCAGTGATCAGAGCACCCGCAACAGAACGGAGGGCATCAGTGATCACTGATCAGAGCAACTGCAACGGAACGGAGGGCATCGCTGATCAGGACACCCCAAGCGGAAGGGAAAGCGAGAGCACAACTGACCAGAACACCCGAAACGGAACGGGAGTGAACGGAACGCATTAGCGGCTCGCCGAATCGCGATTCCGGCCAAACATGGCCTCAAGAAATAGGTTACAGGTCAAAGGTCATTTGGGTCAGGAATATGAGATTTTTAGAGTAGGTGTCAAATTAATTGACTCGAGGGTCCTGAAAGTTTCGTCGCGATCGGCCGCTTTTTACGCGAGTTATTCTCGAAAAAACGAGGGGGTGGTTCGTTCGACCCCCCCCCCCTATACGGGCGAGGGATAATTTATTAAAAAGCTAGGGCCTTCTTAATCCCATCTACCAGCTTCAGAACATGTATTGGGCAGATCTGGGAATACCGTATCTTAAATTTATCCCTAGAGGTGTGTCAAGGTATCCTTTCATTCATCTTGGCTTTCCCTCGGCCGAACGCTTCGTGTTTAAAAACCTTTAGAAACTAATTGAAATGAATAATTGGCGGTAAGATTATTGCAAAGGCATGAGAAATTAACGTAAAATACATCATTACCGGTCTTATAACCTCATTTCGCGTATGAAACCTGCCAGAGTCCACAGAGTTTCATATTCATCCCTAGGGTGTGCCAAGGTGGCGTGTCAGTCATCTTGAACCCCTGCCCGACCCGACGCCTCGAGTTTTAAAGACATCTAAAAACTAATAACGTAAATAATTTGTGGTGAAATTGATATAATATGATCAGAAAAGAACGCAGAATAAATTAGTATCGGTCTCAAACATTATTTTGCCTATGAAACCAGCCAGAGCCCGCGGAGTTTTAAATTCATCTCTAGGGTGTGCCCAGGGTGGCTTTTCTCATCTTGGACCTCTACCAGGCGCGACGCCTCGAGCTTTAAAGTCCTCTAGAAGCCATTGACGGACATAATTTGTGGCGAAATTAATGCGATAGGATCAGAAATAAGCGCAGAATAAATTGGCATCGGTCTCAAAACATTATTTTACCTATGAAACCAGCCAGAGCCCGCGGAGTTTTAAATTCATCCCTAGGGTGTGCGCAGGGTGGCTTTTCTCATCTTGGACCTCTGCCAGGCCCGACGCATCGAGCTTTAAAGTCCTCTAGAAGCCATTGACGGACATAATTTGTGGTGAAATTGATACAATAGGATCAGAAATGAATGTAGAATAAGTTGGTACCTGTCTCATACCCCTATTTTGTATATGAAAGAAGTTAGAGCCCACCAAGTTTTAAATTCATCCCTAGGGTGTGCCAGGGTGTGCCCAGCTGACTGCGGGTCCAAAGATGAAAATTTTGTAGGCGTATCCTGCGCAACTCAGTCAAAAGCGAATTGCAGAGGTAGTGTTTAATTTGCGCAAGCAGCGGCTCATCCGTTTTGCGTTGGCAGCAAACCACTAATCATAGTTGTTATGAATATCCAAAAGCATTTATTCAGAACACAAGCCTGGTTTTTACAAACAGTTGAGGTGATCAAGGTCATTCAACGCATATTTGTTATTAACAGCTGGAAGTGTGCAAGGTTATTTTCTTTCGTTGTCAGTCAGGGTGAGTTGTTGGGTTTGTGCCTTGATTTCGCATTTTTTTTTTCATGGAAATTATGTATTATGTAGCAAACCTATAAGTTCTAACTGTCTATATGGCGCTGCTAGGTATATCTGGTACCTAATCTGGCTGTTAATTGTTGAGCATGAGTTGAGCATTTTTCAAAGATGAAAGAATTCCAATTTACCTGGTTTTGGGGATGAAAATATTTTACCCATTAGGTGTGATTTTCCACCCAAAATTTCCAAAAATGGAACACTGTGACCTGTGCCTACAGTTGGGCGGTGCTGGTGACGGGTGTCTCCTAATTCACCTCCTGTTGGGCAGCAGTGCATATAGGTATTCGATGGGAATGGGATCGGGGCTATTTCCAAGTCATAGCCCGTCAGCCCAGAAAGGTAAGAGGCTCCCTCAGCATCACTTTTCATTTTCTAGGGACTTTGATGTGGCGCGCCTTCCCGCATCAAGTCAGCGTGACTTGAACCAGACATCAGTGCGCTTTCAGAAACCGAGTCTGGGTGTGCCGTCCGTTTGAGCGCCTCCAACCATTCGTTGGCCGTGAGGCTGCTCCGGTAAGTGCTCGTCGTTGAAAGTGGTTTTCTGTGACACCACGTGCTATTGGAACATCGCGCGGCAGCTAAACATGCACCAGACGGATATTGGCCGGATGTTTGACGCTGTTGACGGTCGGCACGTTAGAACTGCTCTCGACGAGGAGCTCTAGAGGTCACTCGAGGTCAGGTCATCGGGTCACGCCAAGTGACCTTACTTCCTTTGAAGCCTCAATGCCTGTCATAGCTACAGAGTGATCGATCGCATTGAAACTTTCAGCTATTGATGACACCAACAATTTGTGCAAAATGTATATCTCGGAATTTTAATAACGGTCAGGTAAGGTCAGTTCAATATTGCGATCTCTCCAATATGAGTCAATGGGAGAAAATTGGAAGGTACCTGCTTTAAACGAACGTCATTTTAAACACTTTAAAACAACGAATTACAAGTAAAAATGACACAAAGGACCGGAAATTGGCACCCGCGACCAGACATGTGCATGGATCCGAGAAAATGGATCTGGGATCTGATCCCACGGATCCTGATCTCGGATCCGTCGGGATCATAGATCCAGCTCTTTAATTTATCGAGAGACCCGTAGGGATCATAGATCCGAGTCAAGTATTTTTGCTTGAGATCCAGTGGGATCATAGATCCTCATTTATTTTTGGTCAACACAGAAATCCCAAAAGATCACTCGTTGCAACTCACAAACGTTCTTATTTAGTGCTTTTATGTGATAACACGTCATAATCCATAGTTTTATGGCACTTATTGACATAGAAACACTTGGAAACCTGGTTTCGAATGTTGTTCATGGTGGGATCCACTCAGATCATAGATCCATGCTTTTGGTTTATCGTCAGATCCTGTGAGATCATAGATCCAGGATAAAATTTTCACGCCGGATTCGGTGGGATCAAAGATCCAAACCTGTAATGTGCCTCGAGATCCACTGAGATCATAGATCCATCACTCGGATCCATGCACATGTCTGCCCGCGATCCATCCTTATGTCCCCGAGGTTATCTTAGGTCAACATGTGCCGAAAATGTGCATGTAGTGGTGTGCTAAAAATAGCAGCCCTCCACGAAGCCGTTTTTTGATATACGAGTATACCTATGCCAAAAAGAAACAGGACGGGGGTCAAAACACCCCTCCGACCCAGCGAGGGCTAAATGTTCAAATATATGCTACTGAACAATATGTAAAAGTTTCTTTCGGGAACCATTGACCAAAACCAGAGGCAGACCGCCTCACCTTCAAGCGCAAGGATTAGATCGCAAATCGAAATGTCAGTTCAACAGACCAAACCCATGTAGTTTGGTAAATATACATCAAGCCTACATACCTACATAAGACCAGCTTCAACTGAACGGACCACCCGTTCCGTCGTTTCCATCCTCAGGATAGTCAAATCCTTCTCCACGCCTCAAACCCCCTGCTCCGGGCTGGACGGGCAATTATAACCCATACGGGAATGGCTCCACTGGAGCTAGCCCGTAGCCGGGTGCAGTGAGTGTCAGTGGGCTACGCGGCCTGTCCAACCGGACGGGTTCAGCCCAGGTGACTCACTGGGGTGCCTGTCCAGACCAATGCCTTCCCTAATCCCTATCATCCTTCCGGCTCTGAAATGGTCTTATAGGACAGAAAGGGCCGAACCCAACAAAACAAACAAAAATGAACGGACCGGACAAGAGCATAGTCAAGAGTGTCGGTAGAAAAGTAAATTTATCTCCAGGATCCTTTCGATTGACACCGTAGCTCTCAGAACCGCTAACGATGAACTGACCTGAAGATGACGGTCCGGCCGGAGAGGAAGTCACAGACTGCCCAGACGTCTCCGAGTGGACGGTCAGCTCCCGGGCCGAGTCGTCTCCGTAGTACACCAGCAGCTCAGAGCCTCGCGGAACGGGCTTCGACGTCCTGCATAGGTCGATGAATATATCACAATTGGTCATGACATGACCTTTATCAAGTCAATACAGCAATGGTCATCAATAACTTAGATGAATCTATGAGAAAATTTACAGGTACCATAAGGCAAACTGCACACAAAATATTACACGCAGTTTGATAGGACAGATCCGTGGATTTCAAGACAACAACACACCTGAAGTATATCTGACCCCGGTACTGGAAGGCCACTAGGTTTTGTTCTTCCTCCGAGCGGGCACAGTTGACCCTTCTGAGCCAATTGCTGCAGCTCGGGTCTTCGGCATTCACCGAGTGATGCACCCGGTCACCCTTCTTGATCTGAGGTACCAAACAAAAACATAGTTCATCAATTCAAGGAACCAAACAAAAATATCACATCAATCCTGGGACCAAAACAAAAATATCACGTATGCAATGAAAACATTGTCAATTTTCTATGTTTCTAACATTAGTTTGAAATGTGTTCTAAAAGTTTTTAATCGTCTAAATGACTCCATAGTAAGAGATGCGACATGTGACAGTGTAAAAGCAGTGGGGGCCGACGCTATATTCTTATACAATATATGAACCAGCAAAAATATGTATTTGCAAGAAGAGCAGAGGAGATTCGACAGAAATGACAAAACTGACCTGCCATCTGTACCCGGTGGTTCGCGTCTGACTCTGCTCGGTGGTCAAGATGCCCTCGTAAGGACCGAGTCTTTGGCGCGCAGGAAGGTCCTTCTCCGCCAAAACTCCTGGAATCAAATAAACGCATAACTTGAAATCACCTAAATACAAACACATGACTGTACTGATACACGGGACACCAAATTATGCAATACAAGCACCATTGCCAAATGATACAGCAGTTGCTAGACGCATCGCCATTTGTCTTGCCTCATTAACTTACCGGTGCCAGACGCTGGATTTGTCGACTGACCAGAGCTGAGAGAAGGCGGCAGGGTCTTGACGTCCCTGTCGGCATCTCCGATACCGGGTCGTGCCTGGAATAGTAATGTACCTATTAGTGATGTCAATTACGGATAATCGGAATACCGATACCAAACCAAATACCAACCAAAACCACGGGAAAATACCGAAACCAAACCAACTTGGGAAACTGAGGGAAATACCAACTTTTTACCGATTTCTTAGCCTCTTATACATTAGTGACGGCTTATGATACCAACAAAATACCAAACACATTACGGTTGAAATACCAAATACCAAGATGGTATCGGTTTGGTATCGGTATACCAAAAAGTTCGTATCCGATTGACATCTCTAGTACCTATGTAGGGCGCAATGTCGACAGAGGATGATATAATGCAGGAATTGAGCTTATCCTTATACTGTACCTATAGAAATCAGCCGGCATGTTTTCGGAACAAAGATCATAGAACTGTTGAACTGGTCGCATCCATGTCAGTATCGACAAAATTGCAGCACAGGCAATAACTGTCAAGAAAGTTTTGTATATATAAAAATCGACAACTTCCACATGCACCTATTGTCATTTTGCAATTTAGCACCAAATCGAACAGATTCAAAATTAAATGTTGAAGTATGGGGGGCACCTACTGATGTAACTAAAACAGAACAATACAAAACATGAACAGAGATAATAGGTATGGACTTATGGAGGATAGTCCCTTACCTTGGTATCGTGTATGATCTTTAGCGGTCCATGGACGGGACATTCACCGTCACAATCGCGGCAGCACACGTCACAAACTGTCAGAAAGAAGGGCGAAAAAATTATTAGCGATTTGATGAAGAGCAGACCAAGGTTTAATCGTTCAAGGTTCCGTTAGACGGAAACAATGCGTCTGTATTCGGTTTAATTTGTCTGCAATATGAGTGCTTATCGTGTACATTCATCCGTTGATGAGGACAAGGTAGCTGACTAAAATCGGGAGAATACTCACATATGTTACTATCATCGAGACCGTCCACATCACGGTAGTTTATGACGAGACGTTGACTCTTGATGAACTCTCCTTCGGCAAAGACTGCAATGAAATACAATGAATGGTTTTGTATGATTGGGTGGCATTAATCTCAGGCGCCAATTCAAAAGAACGTATGACTGTCAGACCACTACATCACTTTGTAGAGTCTAAATCAAATAAAATTAAAAAAAACTGACAAATTGTCTGCAAAAGGTACAAGAGAAAGGTCGATGATAAAATAGAGGGACGACATGCATTTTCCTGGCATCTGTCAACTTGCCTTCTGCCGAGTCTTCACTGTCCGACGGGCATCCCAGTAGCATATCCCTTTTTACACTGGAGATGAAACAAGCACTGAAAAAAGAAGCACCACAAATATATATCATTTCATCAAATGGATAGTCTAGAATGTCAAATAACTACTCAAATTTCAACAACAGCACTGAATCATGCCCTAACCTGTCCCGGTCCACCTCAGTGAACCCGATGAAGTCCTCAGACGGTGACGGTGATCGAGGTCGGTACTTTTCCTCTTTCACTAAAGAATGCAGAGCGCGGTCCGAGAAAGGATCGTCGTCCGACACCGAGGGAGACGACGGCCGCTCAACCTAAACCGGATCAACAGACGAACAATATTCAATGAAACATGAGATGTTTATCCTCCACAGATATACAAATTGGAACACATTATGCGCTGTCATTCCCTTTTATTAACCTCGCAGCTAAAAACCAATGAGAGGTGAGCACCAGGCATTTGAACACTTACCCTTGGTGAAGTGACTTCAATCTTTATCTCCTCCTTCACAACTGGCCGAAAGTCGCTCTCAGAGCCACTGTCTATGGGAGTAGAGTCCCTCAGCCTCTGAGACTTCCTCACACTCTGTGACGGACCCCATTCCCCATCGCTGTCAGCGGAGCACTTCCGAGACCACTTTGGTCCTTTTGGTGACGTTGATGCAGCCCGCATGAGCGGCAGTAGTTCAGACACTGATGGATCTGGAATGGGGTTCAACATCAGTTCACATTGAGTTGACTAGATGAAAGCACAAAACGGAGAAGTTATGTAGCAAGAAAATACAAAGTTGCAGAGTTATCACCACCAATAATTGAATAATTCTTTATGGAATTAATACCCATAAAACATCTCTCAATAATGACAATGACATGGTTTGCCAACAAGAATGCAGCAGGAAAATAATGGAGGTGCTCCTATACCTAGTCTTTAGATCCTGGCTTTATATGAAAAAACTGTTTGTAGCCTCAAATGATCTCTGATGACCTTTCTAGAGAGCAGGCTAGCAGCAAAAGACACCTTTGTTGTCACTAGTAGTCCAAATCATTGTGATTCTGAAATATTTTTACTGTTCCTCCTGACCTGGCAGGCTGACATGACCTCAACCTGGGGTCAAAAATTTCATATGTTGTCAAAAAATGATGCACTACAAGCTACTCCAAGCGGTGAGGCGCTTCGCACCAGTTTTTTATTCACACGCAAAAAACTGGACAGGGTGGTAACAAATGCCCCCCTCCCACTGGGGCAAAGGTTAAAACCACTGGGTAAATACTATTAGAATTGTCTTGTGGCGACCTACATGATGGTACTTTCCATTTCCCACTGTTGAAGCTTCTTCCTTATCCATGGATGCCTAGACAAAATCATTGCGTCAGGTTTGAGGTTAGGTAAGGTCTGGTTATGTTTCTTTTTTAATATTTTGGAGACACCTACCTTATCATCATATCTGGATTTAACGCGTTAAAGGGACCCTCCCACCTTCAAAAAAGTTAAATTAATTGGCATAAAAGTGATATCCCTTGGTTCTGAAAGATCAAAAATTAATATCTACCAAATTTCACCAAAAAATATTCACTGGTTTACAAGATATAAGGCTTTTACTTTTGTTTACTTTTTGGAATCTCTGCTGTTCCTAGCGACTATTTGAAAGTGCGGCCCTTGTTGCGCTTAAAACAGCATATACGGCAATGTGCTACCAAATGTTTTAGTAAAACATTTAAAATCGTTAGATCTCCACTGACATCACAAATTCTAAGGGGGCAGTACAGTGCAGTAGCCCCTTAGAATCCGAAAACTGCAAGTTTGAAATTCCATATATCCGAATTAAAGCATTTTTTGATGTTGTTGTGAGTGCCCAAACCGGTACTGAAGGCCATGGCCACCAATTTAGTTATCTCAACTGAAAACTAATGTTAAGGGGGGATGGTCACTTTAAAAATGGAAGAATACATATTACGTAAGTAGGCACTACTTACTTTTGAAAAGTGAGTCGATGCTATTATACCAAACTTACCATGCTGATCCATCTCAATCTCCAAATCAAGATCCCTCGTTTTCTGTGTGAGTCCGCTCAGAATGATAATTCTATAGATGGCCTTGATGAGAATAAGTTGAAGTCAAAGTTGAAGAGTTTTATACAGCCTTGAGTTGAGGTTGAATCCAAGCGCGCATCACAGCAACGCGCGCGCGCTCTCACGTGCTACTGCATCAAAACTGCGTCATGAATGTCGAAATCCAAGGCTCAGGGTCATCGAAATCATCAGATAAGCAGCAGATTGATATTCGTCAGATTGTATATTTATATACACTGTGGATATTCGCAACCATCCAGCTAAGAAATTGATATTCGGGCGTGGAACGCAGTAACTCAGAAATCTATAAACTTAATTCAGACAGGTAGGCACTTATTTGATTTCCCGTTCCTCAAGGCCGGGGAACAGGATTTTCTGCTCGACTTTTAAATCAAGGACATGACCTAGTGACTTGAAAATCATTGACAATCTTGATTCAGGGCAGGGGCGTAAGTCGTAACCACCTAAGCGGACAGTGCTGAAGGTCGGCACCATTTTTTACGGGCGCCGAAGGCACCCCTCTCTGTCTTCTGTTCAGTACCTATACCTATCTTTGCCACAGACGGTGCCCTACCCTTAGTAGCGTTTCACAAACAACTCTCTTTCTACCGAGGCGCCCTTTTTTCGCATGGAGGCGCCCTCTTTAGCTTCACAGGCGTCTCTCTATCACATGCAGGCGCCCCAATGGGCATCAGCGGCGCCCCTACAGGTCTCACAGTCGCCTCTCTTTCGAATGCAGAGCGCCCCCTTACGCATGCAATGCAGATTGCAGGTAGACGGTAGTTCCAGGCCCAGCAGCACGGCCGCTTTTCCTGTGGGTCCGCAGGTGTCTGTTGAGATTTGCTAGCCTGGCAAATAGTGCCACGCAGATGGAGCAGCCGTTCGGCCTCTCTCCCGTGTGGGTAGGTACGCATGTGTGCGGTATGAAGGGTCGATTGCCTAACAAAACGTGCCGTACAGATGGAGCAGTCGTAACGTCGCTCCCCGGTCAGTCCGCACGCGTCTGGTCAGGTGTGACCATTCAGTGAACAAGGCCTGGTTATGTGAGCAGCCGTACGGGCCCTCCTCCGTGTGGGAACGCATATGTACCTATGTTGAGGGCTGGCCGTTCAGTGAACCGTGCCTTCACATGGAGCAGCCGTACAGCCATTCCCGTGTGGGTCCGCAAACACGAAACAACACTTCAAAAGCCGAAACATTATCAACACGCGTTTATTCGGCCATGACAATATTTGAACTTTTAGTCGTGCATAAACAAAACACTGCAGCACATAAAAAAGTAGGTATTGGTTCATACACATATGTCCTGATGAAAACTCAGTACATTCCTCTATCTAGCCATGCTACTTTCATTTCACTCTTTGGCGGCACGTAATCTGCCGAAAGAGACAAGACCAGAAACATAGCAGTGACGCCTGTAGATACAGAAAGCACATATCTAAGAGTAGCTGCGTTTACATAGGATGAACAGAGACCTGTAAGATTTAAACGACATGCCGACATACATTTGACCCGCGACTTGTCGACAAAGGCTGTGAAGAAAATAGGAAATACTGCAAATACTGGAGTGATTTGAAGCCACAAAAAGAGGCACTATCTAAATATAACTGGATATTCTCCACAAATCATAGCGCTACAGCGCTTAAAAAACGACACTTCTTATCTAACACTAAGCGAACAGTTTCAGCACAACGACCAGGGCCTATTTTAACATGTTAACTGGGGGGGCAAATGCCCCCGCACTCAACAGAATTGCCCCCCCCCCCCCGGTCGTCGAGATGTGCCCACTATAAAAATGGGCATAAAGGAACACGGTGACAAACATACACTGTGACTTGTTTTGCAATGGATGTCAAATGAGTCAGTCTGCAAGTAATGACCAGTGGTGGATCCAATGGTGGGTCATATGGGTTATGACCCCCGCCCCCTTTGGCCCGGGGACACCACAGGCCTGCCTGGGGCACCACCGGCCTGTTAGGGGCACCACAGACCTGTTGGGAGCACCATCGACCTAGGAAGAGCACCATAGGTCTGCCAGGGGCACCACAGACCTGCCAGAGGCCCCACCGGCCTCGCAGGGGCGCCACCTTGGGCCTGTCAGGGATACCACCACAGGCCCGCCAGGGGCACCACAGGCATGCCAGAGGCACCACAGGCCTAGCAAGGGCACCACGGACCTGTCAGCGACACCACGGGCCTGTCGGGGGCACCTCAAGCTTGTCAGGGCCAAGGGACACCACAGGCCTGTCAGGGGAACCAGAGGCCTAGCAGGGACACCACATGCCTGGCAGGGGCACCACCGGCCTCGCAGGGACATCTTGGGCCTGTAAGTGGCACCACGTGCCTGTCGGGGACACTCCAGGCTTGTCAGGAGCACCACAGTCCTCTCAGGGCCCAGGGGCACCAGCGGCCTAGCAGAGGCACCACCGGCCTAGCACTAGCAGAGACACCAACGGCCTCGCAAGGGCATCATGGGCCTGTCAGGGGCACCACGGGCCTGTCGTTGGAACTTCAGGCTTGTCAGGGGCACCCACAGTTCTTTCAGATGCACCGGCGGCCTAGCACCATGGCACCATGTTTGGCCGGGATTGCGATTCGGCGCATGTCGCCTCGCATTAGCCGCTCGTTTGCAGTCTTTTCGTGGTTTCAAACGTTCAAACATGGGATATGATGTTGCTCCCATGCATTAGGGTGGGTGTCAAGGTCACCGGAAGGTCAGGTCAGGTCATTTACCTTTGATGACCCCGGTTCACATTTTCGAGTTCTATAAGATTCTAGGCTAGTTTTTGGAGCTAAATTCGAATTTAGCAACCATTTGACCGTTTGCGAAGTAGTTTTGGTGCCTTCGTAACATGTTACGAGGCTGTCAGAGGCGGTTGCCACCTACTACGAACACCCGGCAAAACCCTTACTGGTTGACCTGACCTGACCTGACCCGACCTGGCCTAAATGCATGAAGACATCTATAATCATATCTAACATGATATTCGTGATCATCACCCCGAAAAAACATAGCAGCCACCCTTTACGATGCTCTAACAGGTCTCGATTTTCCCGACTTTTGGGTCATTGACCTGACCTGGAAGGTCAAGTGATGACGACCTAGGACCTTAACACTCGCCGGCACAGGCCATTTTGCGTCCTTCGACGGCACAAGGGAGGGTTGGTACGACCCCCCCTCGCGTTTGGCCCCTGATCGAGCTATAGAGCTTCGCGGAAAAAACGAGCGTGCTGCCCGTCACGAGAGGAAGCCGATGATATCCAATTTTAATGTCCTAGGTCATCGGGTGACCTTCCAGGTCAGGTCAATGACCCGAAAATCGGGAAAATCGGGACCTGTTAGAACGTCGTAAAGTGTGGCTGCTATGGGGTTTTTCGGGGTGCTGATCCGAATGATATCATGTGAGTTTTGATCACAGATGATGTCTTCATGCATTTAGTCCAGGTCGGGTCAGGTCAGGTCAGGTCAACCAGTAGGGGTCCTGCCGGGTATTCCTAGTATGGTGTCAACCGCCTCTGACAGCTTCGTAACATGTTACAAAGGCACTAAAACTAGGCTTCGTAAATGTTCATCGGGTTGCTAAATTCGAATTCAGCTCCAATAACTGGCCTAGAAACATGTAAAACTCGAAAAAGTGAACCGAGGTCATCAAAGGTCACTGACCTGACCTGACCTTCAGGTGACCTTGACATCCACCCTAATGCATGGGAGCAACATCAAATCACATGTTTGAACGTTTAAAAGCACGAAAAGCTTGCAAAAGCGCGGCTAATGCGAGTCGACATACGCCGAATCGTGATTCCGGCCAAACATGGTCTCGGAAAGTAGGTCACAGGTCAAAGGTCATTTGGGTCAGGGTCATGAAATTTTCAGGGTAGGTGTAAAATTGATAAATGCGAGGGTACTGAAAGTTTCGTTGCAATCGGCAGCTTTTTACGCGAGTTATTCGCGAAAAAACCTTAGGGGGGTTGCATCACCCCCCCCCCCCCTGTGTCGGCGAGGGTCGGCGAGGGTTAAAATTGGGTATCATCGGCTTCCTTTCATCACGGGCAACACGGTCGTTTTTTCCACGAAGCTCTAGCTCGAGCAGGGTCGAAACGGCAAGGGGGAAGGTCCAACGGACCCCCCCCCCCCCATTTACGTTCGCAGCTGGAAAATACCAATACGGGCGAGGGTTGATGGATTATTAGAGACAATTTTCCAGGTTGCCCCCCCAGTCAAATTCCCTTAAAATAGGCTCTGACAACGACTGAATCATCCTTAGTAACAATGAAGAAGCCAGACGTGACACCGGTAGCCACGACGCTCATAAACGAGAATCACAAATTAAACACTAAAATCAAACGTACGGCGGCCACTCATGCATTTCAAGGACAAGTCTCAGCGTTGTACTTCGCCAATCCATCCATTTGCCGCATCGGTCATACCAGTGTATTACATAATTCCCAAAACTGTGTACCAGTTTCAAGTGACTTTCTATGTGCCGAACTAATGAACCGTTAAATAGTAGTTGCAGCAGTACAGCCGCTCTTCGCGTGGGTCTGCATGTGTTTGGTGAGACTTCCTCGTTGAGCAAACCGGGCCTGGCAATGTGAACAGGCGTACGGCCGCTCCCCCGTGTGGGTCCGCATGTGTTTGCTGAGATTTCCCCGTAGAGCAAAACGGGCCTGGCAATGTGAACAGCAGTACGGCCGCTCCCCCGTGTGGGTCCGCATGTGTTTGCTGAGATTTCCCCGTAGAGCAAACCGGGCCTGGCAACGTGAGCAGCCGTACGGCCGCTCCCCCGTGTGGGTCCGCATGTGTATATTGAGGGTTGACCGACGAGTGAACCGTGAAAGACACACAGAGCAACTGAAAGGCCGCTCTCCGCTGTGAGTCAGCATGTGCGTATTGAGGTGCGATCGTCGAGTGAAGCGTGCCTTGCAGATGGAGCAGCAGTGCGGCTGTTCACAAAATGCAGCAGCAGCAGTGTGGGTCCGCATGTGTTTATTAAAACCTGATCGGTCAGTGAACCGTGCCGTGCAAATAGAGCAGCAGTACGGCCTCTCCCCCGTGTGGGTCCGCATGTGTGTGATGAGGTATGACCGTTGAGTGAACCGTGCCTTGCAGATGGAGCAGCCATATGGCCGCTCCCCAGTGTGAGTGCGCATATGTTTGATGAGGTTTGACCGCGTAGTGAACCGTGCAGTGCAGATGGAGCAGCCGTGTGGCCGCTCCCCCGTGTGGGTCCGCATGTGGGTGTTGAGAGTTGACCGTCGAGTGAACCGCGCCATACAGATGGAGCAGCCGTACGGCTGCACTCCAGTGTGAGTCAGCATGTGTGCCGTGAGGTGTGACCGTTGAGTGAACCGTGCCGTACAGACATCACAGCGGTGCGGCCGTTCCCCAGCGTGAGTCCTTTGGTGGTGTTTCATGTTTGTGGACCTGTTGGTCGAGTACTGACACCACTCGCACTTGAATCTGCCGTTCCTGTCGATGTGGCCGTGACTTGTCTTCACATGTCCATCCAGATAATGTTGTCCCAGACATCGGAAGTCGAAGTGGGGACATTGGACCGAGCCACTGATGCCTGAAGAATACACAGAAGAAAGATCATTAACCAAGTTCCGTGCACAAAGCAGGCAGCACACGCACCGAAACAACAACGACGCCCAGAGATGACCCACGCAGCGGGTCGTTTCCAGATCACCTTGATGAGTGCTGTGGACAGTGAACGGCAATGTTGACGGGACAAGCCATCAGCGCCCATGAGTTGATCCGTTTATTGTTAAAAATACAGCCTTCAGAAACGGAGCGCTGAGCTCGTAGTACCTACGGAATATTCACTTGCCCATTATTAACCCGCGCCCCGTAGGGGGAGGGGGTCGAAACAGCCCCCTGTCCATTTCTAAGAACAAGCACTGACTCGAGGGTACGATCCGTCAAAATCCGTTGTAAAGGCACCACGATTTCGCGGCCTGTTCAAAAGCTAGTCAAAATCACGGAAAGTTAAGATATCTCTCAATCTGAATTGTTTCATGTTCGGTGTAATAGATCACCAGCCACCGGCAAGAACTTAACTCTGCAGATTCAACGTTCGTTTGCATTCGTATAAGTTCGTTCGTTCAGGTTCGTTCGTTCAAGGTCGTTCGTTCAAGTTCGTCAAATGTTCTCTCATAATAACTCAAGCTTCGCGCCGCTCACCCCTCACTGTCCTTTGGGGATTTTGTAAACGGACGCAAAAGCAGAAAACATAAAAATGACAAAAAAAGCTATATTGAACACTAGAAAAATAACCATCTCTGGCCAACGTAACAACATTTAACCTTGGCCCCAGTGGGGGGGGGGGCATATGTTACCACCCTGCCGCTTTTTTTGCGTGTGAATAAAAACCGCGGCGTGTAGCGCCGCGCCGCTTGGAGCAGCTTTTGGTACATCAATTTTGGACAATGTGTGATATTTTTGACCCCAGGTCATGTCAGGTCAGGCCACCAGGTCAAGTTAACTGAATAAGCCTAAAAAAAGTTTGCAATCATGTCCAGCCTGCATGGTGTTTGTCAGAGAGGTTTCAAACTTGGTTGATTGCATGATGTTATGGGCGCCTATAATTTGTATACCTCCGAATTTTTTATATCCGTGACCTAAGGTCAGGTCAGTGGCGTGACCTTTCAATTATAAGTCAATGGAGAAAAACGAAAATGCCTCTAGATCCGTATGTACACTCGCCTACTAATTGTGATGTTCGCCCCCCCCCCCCCCCCCGACGGCCCAGCGTTTGACTGGAACGGTATACTGCGCCGCCTCACACCCAGGTTCAGCGGTACAGTATATCACTCTGGCCTCAACGGTAGACTGCGCCGCCTCACACCCAGGTGCAGCGGTACAGTATATCACTCTGGCCTCAACGGTAGACTGCGCCGCCTCACACCCAGGTTTAGCGGTACAGTATATCCCTCTGGCCTCACGCTCGGCACAGACGCGTTGGGCTGGGTCAGGGACGCGCCGCGCTGCGCTGACCGCCTTACCACTCAATACTCCCCAGTAAACATGCCGACGTCGGCCGACGTCGGGGTGACGTCGGCAACTCGGCATCGGCATGCCGACGTCGGCCCGACGTCGGTCCAACCTCGGCACGACGTCGGCTGGATGTCGGATATGCCCGCATGTACCGACGTCCAGCTAAGGTCCAGCCGACGTCGGACCGAGATCAATTGCTGAGGTCCAGCCGACGTCGGGGCGACGTCGGACCGACCTCGGACGCTGTTTTGACCGTTAAAATAATATAAAATGCATGTTTCATGTTTCATAAAGAGCTTCTGTAGGTATTCAAAATATCCTCAGGAAACTCAAATCTTCCTCCACGCCGCAACCCCCTGATCCGGACTGGATGGGAAACTTTATCCCATTTGGGATTGCCCGTAAGCCGAGCTCGCCCGTAGCCGGGTGCGGTGAGTGCTCGGGGGCTGCTCGGCCTATCCTTTGGTCAGGCTCAGCCCCGGCAACTCACCGGGGCCGGGCCCAGTTCATATAGAAAGGCCAGTCGGCAAGTGTCACTTTGCCAAAGTGCCACTTATCAAAGGGACACTTTGGGAAACGTTGGTGCAGGTGTGTAAGAGTGGCTATATGAATCCATTGTGGGGTCGCCCTTTCCAATAAGTGTCACGTAACAGCAATGGGACCAGGGACTCTATATGAACTGGACCCAGGGTGCTCGCCAAGAAGACCAATGTCTCCATCCTATCATCCTTCCGGCTCTGAAATGGTCTTGTCAGACCGAAAGGGCATAACCCAACAAAACAAACTGATTTCGCTATCTGGCTGCGTGGTGTAGTGGTTAGCGCACTAACCTCGCGTTCGAATGACACGGGGTTCGAATCCCATCGCCGGCTGATGCTTTTGGCGTGTTGTCCCAGTAAACATGCCGACGTCGGCGACTGGGGGGCTCGAATCCCGCCGCCGGTTGATATTTTTGGCGCGTTGTCCCAATAAACATGCTGACGTCGGCCCCGTCGGTCCAACGACAAACGATCTCGTCAATCTCGGCAAACGACCTCGGCCCGACGTCGGCTCGACGTCGGCTGGACTTCGGCTGGACGTCGGAACATGCGGGCATATCCGACGTCCGGCCGATTTCGGGCCGAGGTTGAACCGACGCTGGGCCGACGTCGGCATGTTTACTGGGTCAATATTACGGAGCGAGCGAAGCGAGCGGAGTCTTTCCTTAGATTAAAGGTAGTGTGCCACCTTTGAAAGATTTCCCATTTTATTTTTCCTAGGATAAGAAGCTTCTGTTTTTACCTAATATCGCAAAAAAAAATCAAAAATGGGCCTGGAATAGTGCCTTTTTCGCCTAAAAGTTTTTCGGTTTTTAGATATGTATAACAACTGTAGTGGGCTCACCTGCAAACAGGCGTCGGGCAACAATCGCGAATGCGGCGCACTTGTGACAATAAGCAAAGGTCATTATAGTGTTACGACCATACGACGTACGGGAATGAGTTATCAGCTGTCTAATCGTAGACAACACAATGACGAGCCTTAAACTGTAAGCCCGTATTGGTATTGTTTCTTTTATTTGGCTGTCGAACATTATTTATAGTTTGAAATATGATTTTATGTAAAATAATTGATATGAAAAAGCCGTCTTATAAGTTATGACCCCATTTCACCACACGCAAGTGGCAGAAATGACAATGATCAGCTGACGCATTTTTCTTGGCCGAAGTCAGAGCGCGCGGCCCGACGCACCACGCGTATTTGGAAATTCCGACCTCGACGAGCATCAGAAGCCACCTAACAGGCGTGTTCGAAACCGCAGGAGATGATGATGAACGGGTTTATCGAAACTTGATTGGATGAGCATATCGGTAATAGCGATTTCAGTGTGTGCATTTATTGTTCATAGTGGTGTGAAATGTGGTTGGGGTACGACCGACAACCCGTCGGGGCGAATTTCGCACTGGGGTACACAAAATTTGAAGAATTTAAGACGTTTCCATGAGTTTTGAAGGTATGGATAAGTTCTAAAAATCCGGTTCTCCTTATCTGGGCCATTAACTCCATACGGTCCAAGAAAGCTGGCACACTACCTTTAACGGAAATTTCTGAGTATGAGCGGCCGGCCGAGGTCACGATTTTGCGACGCTTATCTCAGCAACCACCACTTGCACGCGGTAATTTTTGAATTTTTGTAGGGTAGCTTCATTCCTTCTACCATATATTGGACTATTTCCGATGCATGTGGGTGACCCCCCATGCACGTGCCACGTGCAAAACGAAGAGGTGTCACTTTTGTAATTGTTGCAATATCTCGGTAACTACTTGGCCGATTGCGCTGAAAGCTGGCATGTAGGTAGGCACCCACTAGGCAATGCATATCCATGTGCCAGAGTTGGGGTGCTGCTGCACGTGCGCACGTGCAGGGGTCGATTCCAGATCTTGAGAACAGCTGGACCGATGGCGCTCAAATTTGGTACATGGTTAGGAACCGTAGGGTGCCGTAGGGTGCCGTGCAAAAGTCAGTTGGGACTCATTTTGCACGTGCGCACGTGCAGGGTGCCGCTTCCAGATCTCGAGAACGGCTGGGCCGTCGGCCGATTGTGCTCAAATTTGGCACATCGCTAGAGACCGGTTAGTAGGGTGCCGTGCACAAGTCAGTTGGAGGTACCCCCTCGAAATTTCGCACGTGCAAGGCTCACCCTCTCGCTCGCTCCGTTAGACGCCCCAAAAGGCGTTATACTGGTAATCAAGGTATTTGAGGAGTCCATAGATCGACAGTTTTTACGTTCTTGTAGGAAGTTAATGACAGGCCTGATAAGTCCTAGTCGGTGGGATGGGCATCGATAAGTCCTCGGAGTCGACGGGCTCCCCCGTAAAAGTCAGGCCGAGATGTGGTGACCAGACATGTGCATGGATCCGAGTGATGGATCTATGATCCCAGTGGATCTCGAAACAAAGTACAGGTTGGGATCTATGATCCCACCGGATACGGCGTGAAAAATACATCTTGGATCTATGATCTCATATGATCTGACGATAAATTACGAACATGGATCTATGATCTGAGTGGATCCCACCATGTACCACATTTGAAACCATTGTTTAAAGGGTTTCTATGCCAATAAGTGACACAAAACTATGGATTATGACGTGCGATCACATAAAATCACTAAAACAGAACGTTTGTGAGTTGAAACAAGTGCTTTTTTGGGATATATGTGTTGACAAAAAATAAGTGAGGATCTATGATCTCACTGGATCTCAAGCAAAAAATGAGACTCGGATCTGTGATCCCTACGGATCTCTCGATAAATTACAGAGCTGGATCTATGATCCCGTCGGATCCGAGATCAGGATCCGTGGGATCAGATCCCAGATCCATTTTCTCGGATCCATACACATGTCTGGTGGTGACGTCGAGTGTCGTGGTGCTGTGTTGGTGCAGCGTGTGTTGTGGTGTTAGTGGTAACTCGGCAGGCCGACGGGCCCTAAATTGAGGAAGGCCCGTGATGGGACAGCATGGTAGCCTCCGATGAGTTTTTATTTAGCTTGTTAGATGGCGGATAGCAGACAGAAGACGACACTTAGACATAGCCATAAGCCATGAGCGTTTATTAGAATTCTTCCACGTGGCGGCTATTACGAATTCGGTCGAGTGGTTTACAGAAAACGCACAAATGCACAAATTAAAACAATCCTCAATCAACTTTTAATTCTTGTAGTGCTCTTTGTATGTAAGGCATGTAGGTGATTGGTAAATTCCTTTTTAATGACCTCCTTACAAATTATTTATGTTTTTGATGTATTTAGCTTGATACAAATTTGTCTGTGTTTAAACTGATATGTGATCAAGGCCCGTGGCCGAAAATTTGTATCAAGCTAAATACATCAAAAACATAAATAATTTGTAAGGAGGTCATTAAAAAGGAATTTACCAATCCTCAATCAAATATACATGATTAAACGTGTTGTACAAGTTGAGTATAAAAAGACTGGGAATATATTTAAAAGCGACATGAACGACACGTTTCAAACACTAAAATACAACAGCGTTTTAAAATACAACCAAATGCATCATCATCTTGCGCCCATCCCCCTAGTGCCTAATGTGTGCGGCTTGCGCTCCACGCCGCCGCGGCCCTATAAGCGAACTGCCGCTGGGTTGTGGAGAGCCTGCACTTTGGGAGGTCGAGCATACCCGATAAAACTGCGCGGAGTTGCGAGATGACACTATTGAACGGTGGACGAACATGTCTGATAGGGCCTGGGGGCACTGACCGTCGTTCAGGGCCCTCTGCACGTGAACATGGTCATGGCGGTGCACCAGTTCCTCAACAGTCTCCCTGCCTGTTGCTCCCCGCGCATTTACCGTTCTTTTTCAGATGGGCCATGAGAGGGGGTTTATGGGTGAAGCCCGCACCACAAATTCCACATTTGTAGGGTTGTTCGCCAGTGTGCCGGCGCTGATGCGTTGATAGCACATCCTGGCGGGAGAAGCCCTGTCCACATGTCTCACAGGTGTAAGGCTTTTCCCCGGTGTGAATTCTCATGTGTTTCTGGAGCGTAGTGCGCCTGGCAAACTGCATGTCACATAGCTCACACTTGTGAGGCCTCTCCTGAGTGTGCGTCATGTAATGTTTCGTCAGATCACCTTTAAGCGCGAATGTTTTAAAACATTCGCCACATCTGAATGGCTTTTCACCCATGTGACACTTAATGTGTCTTTTCAAGGCAATCGGCGCAGCGAAGCCTTTTCCACATAAATCGCAAACATGCCTCAGTTTCAGGTCTTTCGTTTTAGGTTTGACATCTCCGAAATGAACTTCTCGAATATGTCTCAAAAGAACATCTCTCCTTTTGTACGCCCTTTCACACAAACTGCATTTGTGTGACGCTTTATCTGAATGCGTCGCCAAGTGCGTTTTAAGTCCTCTAGCGTACTTATAGCAGTTTCCGCATTTTTTACACCGGTGTGGTCCAGACCTGGGCGCCCCGTCCTCTCCGTCTCCGGACTCATCAGTACCAGACCCGGGCGCCCCGTCCTCTTCGTCTCCGGACTCATCAGTACCAGACCCGGGCGCCCCGTCCTCTCCGTCTCCGGACTCATCAGTACCAGACCCGGGCGCCCCGTCCTCTCCGTCTCCGGACTCATCAGTACCAGACCCGGGCGCCCCGTCCTCTTCGTCTCCGGACTCATCAGTACCAGACCCGGGCGCCCCGTCCTCTCCGTCTCCGGACTCATCAGTACCAGACCCGGGCGCCCCGTCCTCTCCGTCTCCGGACTCATCAGTACCAGACCCGGGCGCCCCGTCCTCTTCGTCTCCGGACTCATCAGTACCAGACCCGGGCGCCCCGTCCTCTTCGTCTCCGGACTCATCAGTACCAGACCCGGGCGCCCCGTCCTCTCCGTCTCCGGACTCATCAGTACCAGACCCGGGCGCCCCGTCCTCTCCGTCTCCGGACTCATCAGTACCAGACCCGGGCGCCCCGTCCTCTCCGTCTCCGGACTCATCAGTACCAGACCCGGGCGCCCCGTCCTCTCCGTCTCCGGACTCATCAGTACCAGACCCGGGCGCCCCGTCCTCTCCGTCTCCGGACTCATCAGTACCAGACCCGGGCGCCCCGTCCTCTTCGTCTCCGGACTCATCAGTAACTCGGCTGGCGCTAACACCATCCGACACAGTCGAAGCGTGGGACCGCCGCTGTTGCCCGGAACTGTCCAGTGACGGTTTGCTGTCCTGGTATGTGCGCCGCACATTCCGGCATTCGTCCTGCTCCGTGTTTTCGGCGCCCGTGTCGCTACCGCTGTGGTCGGAGGAGACATCCAGACGTCTGGAATGGCCGTCGAGGTGGCTCTGGAACTCGGCCAGGCCGTGCAGCGCCAGTCCGCAGAGGTCGCACCGGTGTGGCGGAGCCTGGTCACCGGCAGACGGGTGCGGAGCCTGGTCACCGGCAGACGGGTGCGGAGGCTGGTCACCGGCAGACGGGTGCGGAGCCTGGTCACCGGCGGACGGGTGCGGAGCCTGGTCACCGGCAGACGGGTGCGTCGACGTGCCCGCTCCGGTCAGTGCTGCGCCCTCAGAGCGTCCACATGTGCCCAGATCTGGCACATCATCAGCAAACTCCTGAGCCGTGTCCCTTGCAAGAGACGTGCCTGAAATGTGAATAGTACATACTGAGTTATCTGGACCCTGTGTGGTTTACCGTAAGCGACAGTGTCGGCAGTGAACTCACTCTGAATAAAAAAAGATAGATAGGGGAGACTGGGGACAAGTGGGCTATGATTTTTACATCAACTTTGGAAAATCGTAAAAAAAATATTCCGGAATTACGGGATGGAAAGCATGGCTTCGCATGCTTTCAAGTTTCCATTCGGATATATTCACATTGGGGAGGGACTGAAAATAAAAGTTGTCCCGATGTGTGTGCATGTGCGTGTGTCTTTGTGTGTTGAAGCATTTCGGCATCTGGAGCCCAAATGGTTGCGCCGATCGAGACGTGGAGCGAGACTACCCAAATGGGTAGGCCACCGTTCGACACACCGATCCGGGGAAACGACGGTGGTGCCGGTCCCGTGTCAATTCGCACACCGTGGCACGTGCCATGACGGCGACACTGCAATTTTCGGGGCTAAAGGCCAAACGGCCGACGGCACAGGTTGTAAACTCGCAGGGCACATGCAGCCCACCTTGAACCGTGGTCCGTTAAGGTTTCCGTCTCTGAGGGGTGCACACCGCCCGTGCCAGAAGCGATAACATTTTTTGCCAAGAGATCCTCTGGTCTGGATAAATTAAAAATAAAAAATAAAAAAAATAAATAAAAAATAAAAAATAAAAATAAATTACCGCAAAACGCTACCTTATTCTTACTGAAACCTCCCTTGTTCTTACCACAAGTGCCCTTTTCTAGTTGAAGTTTGTCATCTGAAGACATTTTTGCAAAAAATTGTAGCACTTCTAATGCAATGATTGAATTATACCAATCAAATTGTGGTCTGGCAAATTTAAAACGCCATTACCTTCTCCTTGCACCATTACAATGCATCATGTCCCATTATAGTGTCGTGGTCCTTGGCGTGTGAGACGTGCGACTAGCTTCATTTTTTTTGTGGATTTCTTTTGGTGTAGCTTCCTTTCCGCAGTTAAAGCATGTATGATGACATCTGGCGACATAACTAAAAATGATCTTCTGGGGAAAAGGGAGGCTGTGGGGTAAAAAGGGAGGTTGTGGGAAAAAACGGAGGCTGTGGAGAATAAAGGGAGGTAAGTGTAAAAGAAGGGAGATCTCAATAAGGGGATATTTTGTCAACAAAAAGGGATATTTAAGTCATAAAAAGGAAGGTGAAGAATTATTCCCCTTTTTTGACCGGGGATCCTCTGGCCTTGGTACAGTTTGAGCTAGCGACATCAAATTTGGTTCGTTGGTAGAGGAGCTTGACGAGCGCTTCACGGTGACGTACACATGAACGTCGTAGGGTGCACGGTGCAAGTGCAAGCAGTTTTGGCACCGCTACGAAGTGCAAGGCCTGTAGGCCAATTGTTTGAACCGATTTGTCTGAAAGTTGCCACTCATAATCAGTAGGCATGCACATTAGGGTGACCCGTTTTTCCAAAAATATTAAAAAGTTAATGTTTCCGCCCCTGATTCGACGTGTCTGGTCGAGCTGAGCACAAAAATACTGTTTTTATTTCAAATTCGAAATTTGAAAACGGGCCCCAAACCAAAAAGGATAAGAAAATGACAGATTTTCGTGAAATTTGCACTTCTGGAGACAACAATATATTGTTAGTGATCGGGGAGCATATCGCAAGAGCCTAAAGCCCTTGTTACACTGCCGAATTTTGGTACACGAATGTGCACGAATATGCAAGTCATCCTATGTCGCGGACCGATTCGGGATCTTTCTTCCATGGTCTTGGCATTTCGCAGACCAGTCGGTGTCCACCGCGCGACTTTTACGGTTCGTCACGACCGCCACGAATATTTCATGAAAAATGAAAATTTCGTGGCCGTTCGCCGAATTTATAATAAACGAACATGATCGCCAAACAGTCGCCGAGTCGCCGCCGACATGTCGCTGCGTGCGTCGACTTGTTGCCAAGGTATCGCCGACTATTCGCAACAGATTCGCCATTCATTCGCGATGTTCGCCGAATCATGGATCAGCTTCGACCCGCGCACGTTTAGGGGGCCCCCCCCCCAACCGTTTTCTGCAAAACGGGCTCTGTCGGCGAACTGTTCGCCTCTGTCGGTAAACTGTTCGCCGATTTCCTACACGACGTGATTCGGCGACAGGGTCGTGGCCAAAATTCGGCAGTGTAACACGGCCTTAATATAAGACAAGACACTAATTCCGCTCTCACACAGCGTGTTTCGCGCCTCTACTTCCATTTCCACGGTCTCTGTTGAAGATCTTCCGAGTGCACTCTGACACCCGCCCGGCCTTAGTTCCAAATCCTCACAACAGATGGTAGCACGGTCGATAGCAGTTCCCGCGCCCCGCTGGGGGGGGGGGGCAGATTCTGCCCCCCCCCTCCCGGATTTTCGTGATAACTCCAAAACCGTTGCAGATATTGTCACGAAATTCGGGGTACCTTATGCTACATCAATTTGACATGGACTGTGCAAGTTTCATCATAATCCCTTTGAAATTTTTTGAAAAAATGGCGTTTTTGTGGCGTCACTACATGCCATTTCTGGTCAAGATTGTCTAAATGTTTATACTGGGTGGCCCAGAAAAAAACGTTCCCAACTTTAAATCAATATTTCTCAGAAAGTGATAAAGATACAACATTGAAACTTCGAATAGTCAATGCGGCACGCATTTTCAGTAAATGGTGTGATTTTCATGGTGTTCGGTAAATAACTTTTTAAACGGTTCGTGTTTCAAGCATGCCATGTAAAAATTACTTTTTTGCTCCGATGTTTACTAAAAAATGTGAGTGAACGGGTCACTTTCACCCCGCGGCACCGCGGCCTAGAGCCATGACTTCTACTGGCAGCTAGTCTCATTGATGGTTCGGGTCTCAGGATGACACATTCCCTCAGGCAACCACGATGGCTCTGTGCCAGCGGCATCGGAAGAAGTTTCCAGTTTTCTAACCATCTTGTGGCTCAAATGCTTTCCTGACTGACATTCCTGGGAAAAGGTAGCTTTTCAACCATATTGTTTTGGCATCTGCTGGCAATGTTGTTTTTCATAAGCTATTCTGTGGTCTTCTGGCACAGGAACCAGTCTGCTTTAGTTTGTTTTCCTTATCCGGCCGATTTACTGTTTGATCTACTGAAAGGAGGGTAATCAGCAGTAATCCATGCATCGTGCCACTCCTGCTCGAAACATGATTTGGTGTTGAAACGAATGACATCCATGAGCACCATTTTGGCTCAGTATTTGAATATTTGGCACCTAAGTGATACAAAAATATTTAAAATAAGAACATACGTGTTGGTTTCATTTACGTGCTCTATTTTTTATTCTTTTTTATAACATGGGACGTCTAACCCAATCATCACCATCGTTTCACATCGGCAAAAGAAGCAAAAAAGTCTTGCTTAATTCAACTCAAGATTGCCAGCTTGAAAATGATGGTATAGTGTTATAATTTGGCACACCAATGCGCAAAGAAATGACGCAAACTTGATGAAAATTTTGGCTCGCTATTTGTACTCGTATTTGATATACAGGCCTCTAAAGTTCGCAACGTTTTTTTCTGGGCCACCCGGTATATTCACCAAAAATACATAATTGCAGCAAATCGCCCAAAAAAAGCCACCAAATACGTAAAATAAGAGTTTTTGGCTCCATATTTTAAAAAAAAACTGTCTTTTAGAAAAAAACCTATAAAAACCAATTTTTTTTGAATTTTCAAAAAACGGAACACATCATATGAAAACCAGTATTTACTATGCTCATACAAAATTTGGAGGCAATCCGTCAATTTTTGGTCACAGAATGGCCAAAAAACCGCCAAAATAACACATGACAAAATTTTTGATTGCAAATTTTGGAAGTTTTAGACCACCTACGACAACGAAAATACCACCGTTGGATTCGCCGTCAAAAACTGAATTAGATAAACACCAATTTTGTTTGAAAAGACCAATTTCGAAATTTGACCTAGTTTGACCTGACTTGACCTGAACTCCGTCCAATTGTGATCCAAATCATTTAGTGAGTATCGCCATTGCATTCTATGGGCAAAATGACCCATAAAACATGTGTCGCACATAGCCCGTTCAGTGGCTACTTTGTGATGACCTTTATTGACCTGACCTGACCTTGACCTTGAACTTTCCATGGCGTTTTAAGTAAAGCACATCGTATCACTACCCTAAGGATGCGTTCTGGGTGAGCGCCGTCAATCGCCTCTTCACCAACTGGGCTCAGACGCCAACGCTGTGAAAACCTGTTATTATTACCTTTGACCTGACTTTTGACCTATTTAAGCAAAATTTTTGGTGCTCTTCAGATCGGTCTCGTTGAGTCCTTTCGTTGGCCGCTTTCCCCGTCTCTCTACGACCTTCCGTTCGGAAGTTAGGCGGGGGGGGGGGGGGGCAGAATCGGCCCCCCAGCGGGGCGCGGGTTAATAAAGGGACTTTTTAAGTGAAACCTGGGTTTCATAGTCACTTTGGTATGGAAATTGGTAAATATTCCCTGTTATTAACCATCTGTGACACATGCTACCACATGTTCTTGCGACATATGAGTATATATTACAATTTATTTGACATCACATACCTACAACTAGAATGGGCGATCTGAAGAGGTGGCACAAATGAAACGAAACACTACATAGATACTGGATTTTCTCGGCTCGCTTTCCATCGCTACATCCCAATGTTAGGTACCAGAGGCCGGTGCGATTTTTTAACAGCCGACCCATGGGTTTCAGCACCCCAGGCCACCTTGTTCAGGGTGTGACCTGCTGCTGTTAGATCCCGTTGACTTGGCCGGCCGCCTCGGCTGGGGCCTTCCCAACCCGCTCTGTTGACTGTGTGTCTGTGTAACATGGGCAGCCAAACTTCAGCAGCTGATCCATCAGTCCCTCCAGCTGCTCCGACGACAGATGCTTGGTCAGCGGCGGCTCAAAGCTCGCGGTTGGAAGTCCACCAGTCCACGATAAGCGGCGGCCGAGTTGTTCATCGCGGTGACGT